CTTTTCATTCTACTTCAATGAGTTTTCTACAGGCTGAAGAATCAAATAATAAATGTAATAACAGGTAAATTATAACATTTTATTAAAAAAAAGGTATATATGTATTTAGGATGTTTCAGAGGTTGTGCAAACGAAATTAGAGATTTTTGAAACAAAGAAAAGTATTTTAAATCTTAAAATGAAAATCACTTTGCACTCAGACTAGTTAAAAAAAAAGAATCAATATTTTCACGGACAAATATAAGTATAAATACTTCATTCAAAAATATGATTATTTGTGTGCAAAAGGCTTCTAATGTTTACTGTAAGTCTATAAAATTTTGTAAAGATACACTTAAAATAAAGTGGGTAAAAATATTGTTCACATTCCTGAAGTATTTAAAAAATTTTATACTAAAAGTATTGTGAATCTTTTTTTTAATAATGGCTTCATGATAGTAGTATCATCAAAACTTTTTCCAGTCATCCTTAACTATTTTGCCTAAATATCTATATCATTTCTAATAGATTAGAAACTTCGCAAATGAATCAGAATATAATAAATAATTTAATTATCCTTTAAAAATTTTCATTATTTTGGATGGGAAACTTATTTCTTGGAGGTAATCTAATACATACAATATTTTTTCTTAAAGTATTCAGTATATTAGAAGCTTAATCTTGGTTATCCTTTGTTGTTTCAAATAAACACAACCACATCACAACTGTTACTCAGAATATTTATTAGACAAAACAATATTGGGAAGATGTCATCTTAAAACTGGATCATCTGGCCCTGAAAAAAAATTCAAGTCACTTTTAAAATACTTATTTTACATTTCAAAAAATATTTTAATGCGGTAACTTCAATCTCACTAATGCCTATATATTTAATCAAACCATCAACACAAAGTGTAAAATTGAAAAAGCTTAAAGTCTATCACTGCACTATGTGCACATGATAAACATCATAAAGTTGACTGTAGTAACAGAAATATGTTTACAAACATTGTTTCTTACAAAAAAAAAAATTACACATTGAACATAATCAAAGAGAATTTTAGTGTTAAAACATTTTATTTTAAAGAAATAGCAAAGCTTTATCATTAATGAAACAGTATATTATGCAGGATGTGATAGTATGTAGCAATAAATAAAAATTCAGTACAATTAAATATAAAACATTTGGTAATATAAACTATTCATTTTACATCCTGTCAATGTACCATTTTAATGTTTCATTAGGCTAGAGTACACAATAAAACAAAACTTTCTATAACTATGCCTTAAACTCTTTATCTAACTACACAACAATGAACATTAAGTTTCAACAAACCTTTCTCTTCTTATCACCACCTATCTCAAAGTGCTTACATCTCTTGATTGGAAGCTGTTTCCTGCACTTGCACTCTGAACATTCCATTCGTAGCACAATTTTTTTTGTTGTTTTTGCCTATATAGAAGCAAAATATAAATTATACTTTCATGCTACAAATGCTTGTGTAATTCATTAATTATTATACAAAGATTACAGTTAGGTTGGAATAAATAGAAGCAACATTCAACAGTAAATAAAATTACACACCAGTAAAAAAATGGTTTAATACCAATAACAGTTTTAAGAGCTTGGGTACATTTATATGAATTGAGAGAAAGACAGCACTTAACTCTTTCAGCACATGGCTAGGTCTCTGGGACCGATTTCGGAACAATTTTGTGCTTGTTATAGTTTTCACGCTATAACTTTTATATTAGTAAGCATATGTTAATGAAATTTGGCAGATTATCAGTAAAAATTACAATGCTTTCATAAGCAAAACAACAATTTTTTTAATCAAGTTTTAAGGTCTCTAAAGCAATGTTTTTCTCATGCCTTTTTTTCTTTTCACGTTTCCTATCCAACATGCAAAATCTTTATAATGTACAAATAGTTATCAAACGTTTCTTAAGAAAAACACTATTTTATCTGTTATTTTAACTAAGGAATATCTGTAGAAGTTTGGTAGATTTGACTGATCTCGTAACCACCATAAAAAACATGCAGAAGTTACAATAACACGGCATAAGTGCACTCATGTTACAGTATCCAGTATTTTGTAAAATAGTCACATTTCAATTATTATACATTATATATGTATATAGATTATTGCTATTTTTAAATAAATTCTTAAACTTATTTTTCTTTAAACATAGAACAGTAACTAAAGTAAAGCAACAAATTATCTGTTCTAGTTACAACCTTTGTACTAGGTTGCTGCTTGACATAAGTTGACAAGCCTTTAAAAATTTGTACTTGAAGGATATGAAACAAAGTATTTTTTTAGGTTTATATATATATATATATATATATATATACTATTAGTAAATAAAACTAAAATACTAATTAAACTTAACTTACTATACTTAGTTTACTAAGTAGTACTTTCT